AATTATTATTATTATTTTGATTTTAAATGGTAGTCTGAAGTGGATTTTCAGAAGATGGTATGAGCTAAATAAGAGACTAATAATCACAGGAGGAGACCAGTACAATCAGCTGTCAGTTTGGGTACAGAGTTTTACATTCAACAACCCAACACACTGTGTTTGTACAAATTCTGATTGCATAGTAATTTTGTAAAGAAAAGAGGCATCAGCTGCTGAGAAGCCATGAGAATGTCTTTGATTCCAGGTGTAAGCATCTCAGCTAATCAGGATGATGAGACAGACATGGAGACATTTCAGATGGAGATTGATAAAGAGACTAAGAAGTGCATGTTCAGAACCAACGGTGGAAATTACTGGACACTCGTTACTCACGGAGGATTTCTGTCCACGGCCACAGAAGCGTAAGTGTTTCCATTATTATCACAAATTACAGTGTTGATGCATTTCATAAACTAATGTTTATGAAAATAGTGAAAGATCTTTATTGTGTGACTGATAGAGAAGAAAACACCATGTTTGACATAGAGTGGCTGGGCCGACAAATTGCTTTGAGAGCAAACAATGGAAAATATGTCTGCACAAAGAAAAATGGACAGCTTGCTGCTGTGAGTGATTCTTTGGGTGAGTGCACACAAGTTATTACTGACCTGTCACTACTGAATACCCACTTAACATGAGTCAGATAAATCCTTGCATGTGTTTGGCAGGGGAGGATGAGCAGTTCATGCTAAAGCTGATTAATCGTCCAATCCTGGTCTTGCGTGGGGAGAACGGCTTTGTGTGTCACCACAAAACCTCCAATACATTGGACAGCAGCCGCTCTGTTTATGATATCTTCTCATTGCTTTACAGTGATGGCGCATACCAAGTAAAAAGTGAGTCATATTGCTATTGTGTAAGCTGTAACTGACCAGAGTTTCATTGAGCAGAACATACTCTTCTGGGTACATATTTGTGTAAATGTGTTTTTTTTTATTTTATATACAGGCGGAAATGAAAAGTTCTGGTATGTCTCCAGCAGTGGTCTGGTGTGCACAGATGGGAATAAACCTGAGGATTTCTTCTTTGAGTTTGTGGAGTATGGACGGGTTGCCATCAAGTGTCAAAATGGCAAGTACCTGCGTGGAGACCAGGGAGGCACGCTGATGGGCGACGGGCTCAGTGTGGATGCCTCGTCCCTGTGGGAGCACTGAGTGCTGTACCAGAGACCCACAGAGACAAAGACTCAAAGAGTAACAACAAGCTATCCTCCTGACACCTGTTCAACCAATGACTTTTCAGCAATACGTTCTTCATTGATGTATCTTTTTAGTTTTTGTGAGCATGTGAACTATCTGTGGTTTCATTTGTTTCTAATACTCAGTTCTCAACTCTGGCCCTAGGGATCCAAAAACACCTGCCTATAAGCTTTCTAGTTATCCTAAAGACCTTTATGAGCTAGTTCAGGGGCCTGTACCATGAAGCCAGATTAGCTGGCTAGCCAGGTAAGTTTCAGTTTAGTTTGCACCAATCCTGGGTTCTAGGTACCATGAAAGTGGCTTGGCTTTTAGCAGCATTCATTGCCTTAGTAACTTACACTCCACAGCTAACCTGCTCGGGGTCAGGTTATGTTCTGGTTTAGAGATCTCAAAGTGAAATTTGACCAATCAGCTTCAAGCAAAGTGACACGTCTGACACAATAAAGCCACTCCCCTAGTTTCTCTTACTCCAAATTAAAGGACGCTACATAGTAAAACATTTTTAAAGATAAAATTGTCTGAATTTAAAGATGATTATTTTTAATAATTATTTTATATGATTTATATAATTATTATACCCTTAATCCATTACACAAGCTAGCTTAGTTTAATAGTAATTATTACACTTTTATTTTAAATTAATATAAACAGATAACATGCAATATAAATACGTTTTAGAATCAATAGCTTTAAACATGACTACATATGAGCTTAGATTTTTAAGTGTTTTTATACCTATAAATATTATTAACTCTATGAACTGACTTTACAACTTTTACTTGCACTTATAAGGCAAGATGTTTTCTTTAAGTTTTCCTCTTTCATGGATAGATCGTTTCGAAATGTGTTTAAATTCTTCATATTTTTAAATATTTTAATCTTTGATAGTGAATTGCACTGACTTTCTCTCAAGAAGTGAATCACAGTTTCAAGGCATCTAATTGGCTTTTCATTATTGATGTCATTCTTTCATGTGCACGTGCTCCATTAACTCAGGATCAAGCCTGAGTTGACAGAGAAAGTTGATGATTAGCTTCATCATCAACTGGGGGTCCTCCAGGACAGGTATGAAAACCCCTGCACTAACTTTGGACTGGTTTGGTTTTGTCAACTCAAAGCTAAGCCTGTAACCCTGAGTTTGTTCAGCCACCATCATGGTACAGGCCCCAATCTGCAGGACCTCAGTGTCAGAGTTGAGAACCCCTACTATGGAAGTTAGTGCAGGGGTTTTCATACCTGTCCTGGAGAACCCCCAGCCTTGCACATTTTGTCTCCCTCATCTAACAGACCTGATTCAACTCATTAGTAGAGAATACAAGACCTGAATTGGGTGTGTCTGATAAGGGAGACATACAAAATGTGCAGTGCTGGGGGTCCTCCAGGACAGGTTAGTGTCCCCCTTTGCTTCATAAGATACTTTACAACCTTAGACTTTACTCTGTCATTTTTTAAATTAATTATAATTAGCTTGGTTATTGAGGCTGTTAAACTGTTCAGTTATGTGTCAAAGCTAACTGCATTGAAGTAATGTTAAAAATTGATGTTGGTTCCATATCCCTTTTGCACCTACAATTAAGGTTGAAACAATAGTGAGATTAAAAAAAAGGAAATTGTCACTGAATCAATCTTATGAAGTGATGATGGTTCAACATCGCTTATTCACCCTCATCCTCAGTTAATATTGAAACAGTGTTGAATTATCAAAAATTATCACTTTTGTTGAAACACTAAAAATACAACTGAAATGTCAACATAAAAAACATTTTGCCATCTTATGTACCATGTTAATGTTGAAACAACATTAATATTTCAACTACACTTCAATCATACTTCAGCAAATTCCTGACCATTTCAAAGTTTAGGGAAAACCTTTTAAAATGAAAATGACATTTCCAGTCGTTGAGTCATTTAGCTTTTTATTTTTTAGATTTATTTATAATCTGTTTAAAACAATCAATGAGAAAAGATACAGAAGATCAGTCTTTAAAAACTAAAATGGGACAACAAGGACAAAATGACAAAAGCACCATACAACCTCTAAAATCATTAGTTTCAGGATGCTTTTTTAAAGATCATTATTTTGTGTATTTGGTGTATCAGAATATGTTGCCATGCTTTAATGTTCAAAAACACATTATTTTTCAAACAGTACATTATTGTAGGTCCTCTATGCCCCACCTCTCTCAAACGCTTCGTTTTCTACAAAGTCCCTCCTTCCGACAAACGCAGTCTGCTCTGATTGGCCAGCTGACCCAGTGCATTGTGATTGGCCGAACACCACAAGCACGCTTCAGAAATTTAACACCCCTTACTATAATCACGAGCTTCATCTTTCAAAATAAATGTAAAGACAGAGCCCGAAAGGGGAACAGTCGTGTGACAGACACAGTGATGAAGCTGGTATGTGTTTGTATTACACAAGTCACGGTTAAGATGGTTGTGACCCTGTCTCTCTCTCTCTCACACACACACACACACACACACACACACACACACGATGCGCAAAACTCTGCATCTGAACAGTCAATATACTTAAACTAATAACAAAACAGTAGCTGATTCAGAAGCGCCAGATTGTCATAGCAAAGTCAGAATTACCTCCTCTCCTAGGTTCACGAAACGGTCATCCATAAAATGCATTGCTGTTCTGTTGTAAGATTCCTAAATGCTTGTAACACTCTAAAGAGAAAGGAAAACTTGAAATCGCATCATATGACCCCTTTAAAAAGCTGGCTTACATCAGAATGCTGCCTCTTTTCCTTTGGGTTCTCTGAAATCTGAAAAAGACAGCATGACGTCACCTAAGAGCAAGTCCATTCATTTGTTACACATACAATCAAATTCATGATGTTAATATGTTAAACACAATGATTCTAAATGGTATCACTTTAAATTGTAGACACAAGCATTTTCTGTAAAGCTGCTTTGAAACAATGTGTATTGTGAAAAGTGCTACACAAATAAATTGAAAATTGAATTGAATGATTCACTTTTAAATTACTGAAAAAAAACATTCTAACTATGATTATACTATGATAATTATGAAATAATGATATAGTATCATGAAATTATATTTACTCAAATCTATTAACACTTCTATATCAATACAGTTTCTTCAATTAACATGAATAAATAAAAGCACAATAGCAGGGGTGTCCAATCTTTTCAGCTGAGTTTATCTTCAACCCTATTAAACACACCTGAAACCGCTAAGTAAGGTCATTGGGATCACTGCAAACTTCCAGGCGGATGTCTTGGATATGTGAACTCTAAATTCTGCATGAAGGTGGCCAGCTTTGATGTATGGCCATTATTCACAGAAAAAAAGTATAGGATGTGAACATTATTCTATACATTTCTTGTACATCTTTTTTTGGGGGGGGTTAAATTTCACATACATAAGAAGGTCAGGGTCCACGCCAAATTTCATCCATTTGAGACTGAAAAAGAACCGCCACTGCTTCGGTCTGTGCAGCGCTGCATGAAGTCGAACACATCTATTTGTACCACAACATGATCGCTGTACCACCTGACCACTGCAGATTCATTTCACAGTTGATAGTGTCGCCATAGAAACGCACAATCCTCTCATAATTAGGCTACCTTAATTATTATGACATGGTGTGAACGCAGCATTCAGCTCATCCACCCCAATCTAACACACCTGAACAAGCTAATCAAGGCCTTCCAGTCAGATTACTAGAAAGCTACAGGCAGGTGAGTTTGATCAGGTTTGGAGTTGATCTGATCTCCTTGGATCTTTAAAACCCCATTTTACAGCGGTTGATATTGTAGTAACACGTTTATTTGTCATTGTTTTGTGCGCTTCGCTGGCTGCTTTTCCTGACGCACCAATACAGCGCATTTTTCAGCAGAGGTCATTGTGAGATCGCAAGTTGGGAGAATGACAGCTTGAGTGTTGTTCTCGTTGATTGCTGTTTTATCGTGTCTGTTCGGATACTTGAGCATAACAGATGCTACTCCAGGACAAACCACAGGTGAGAAGATCTGTTGACTTCATTACGCAGCTTGAAGAAATGCAGAAAGTGACACTCAGTATTTGACAGTAACACCGTATTGGAATAAGTAGTAGGTTTTTGAAACTCTTTTGATTAAAGCAGATAAATGTCCAACTTGTATCAAGTTGAGACTCAATGCAAAACTCCAGGGGAGTTTTTTTACAAATGCTGAAACTGCACTCCCTAGCCTCCCCTAATGATCCTTTCGATTTCTCTAGTACAGGGGTTCTGAAACCTCTCCATGAAGTACCCCCAGCACTGCACGTTTTGTATGTCTCGCTATATCTGACATCCACTTCAGGTCATGCAGTCTCCACTGATGAGTTGAATCAGGTGTGATGGATGAGGGAGACATCCAAAATGTGCAGGGCTGGGGATACTCCAGGACCGGTTTGAGAACCACTGCTCTAGAGGACATTTACGGTCCAGCAAAGCTGACTGTCGTGCCATCCCGTCGAGGATGTTCTTCTGATAGGGTCTGCTCTGGAGGACACAAATGCTGTCGATTTGACTGTGGGCCTGTTTCCAGTGAGTTTCAGTAAATAATGGATGCTAGGGGTCCTCCAAAAGTAACGCATTGAATTCAGTGAGTTTTAAGCAGAGACCGAAATGTTATGAGAGACTTTTTGATTTTAAGTGAATGGAAATGTTCAGCATTCAGTGACTCTCTGTCATGTGTCTGTATAACGGCAAAGCCAGGAGAGTGTCCACCCCAATCATTAACAAGAGGATCGTGTACCAGGTCCTGTGAGTGACTCTAACTGTCCCAGCGACTAGAAGTGCTGTGGCAATGGATGTGGACGTTACTGTAAGGCTCCATATACAGGTATTTGTTATGTTCTTTTGGTCGGTTGTTATATTTTTGCATTTGTTCTCTCCTAAAGTAGGTTTGAATTCATCCCTTAGGATATGGTTTTAAACCGGATGGCTTTACAAAATAAAGTGGAATAATCCTTAGCAAGTTGTACCTACAGAGCGAATAAAGTTCTATTTATGCTTTGTTTTGTGCTGTAAATTGGCGTGGCATACTGTCTATATGCATAAATTAAAGCTGACCATCTGTGTCAATGCAGTGAAGCCGGGTCAATGTCCCAAACCGAAGAGCATTCCACGGTGTGCTGAAAGGTGTTTCCACGATGGCCGGTGTCCTGCCACAGAAATGTTGCCAAACCACCAGTGGCAGAGCATGCAGTGAACCACGTGGTCAGGGACATGGTCCGGGAGGTTGCCAGGGTAGCGGCCACGGTCAGGGTTGTGGTCAGGGTTGTGGTCAGGGGAGCGGTCAGGGACAGGGTCAGGGGAGCGGCCTTGGTCAGGGGAGCGGCCACAGTCGGGGAAGCGGTCAGGGAAGCGGCCAGGGCCAGGGGCGCGGCCAGGGGAGCAGTCAGGGAAGTGGTTGTGGTCAGGGAAGCGGTCAAGGAAATTGTCAGGGATGTGGTAATTGACACTGTCATGGAAGTTTTGCATAACTCCTACTAGACGTCTTTGTAATTCAGTGCTTTTTTCATGTGGCATGTTTTCCTGAAACAATTTGGAAGGGATTTTCTGTTGCTCTCACCAAACCCCCCTCCCCCAAATAAAAAAACAATGGCTTGATTGAAGAGTTGGCTCATTTGGTATTATTTGGCTGTTTTTACATAACTGCTTTCTGGCATCAGTGGTTTGTGTAAGTTCCTCTCCCTGAGACCTGGACCTTTAGAAAAGTATTGGCCCATTTTTGCACAAAATATACCACATTTCAGCTGTGTCCCAAAGTTAAGTGCGCACACTTTGAAGGTCTTCGTGCATGAAGGATGCTCTGCCTTCACAGGATTTCCTAATTGTGACATCAGAGGTTCCCGATTAGTGCTGACAAGAGGACAATCCTTACAGGATAGGTGGAGCCAGAATTGCTTTATTTTTACATCATAATGGCGCTGATGTACCCTCCGGCTTAGCCAAGACCACGGCCGCAGGTCTAAGTTCCGTCACTACGATGGATTTCCATCAGTTCATGAAGCCAGTCACTTCCTTCATTCCTGAATGATTCAGCGGTTTCAATGAATCGAAAGAATGATTTGGAGATAAAATCAGTGACTTGTCGCCCCCTGCTGGTGGATTTGGTTTCGTAATTTCAGTTATTTGAATATGTCTGTCTTCAAATTTTTAAATGAACTATATCTCCACATGAGTTTAATGGCACTCATGCCACCTCTGAGCCTCATTAAATGTCTGAATGTACCTACAAGCCACTTTTGTGGTCTTCTGTCCCACCACTGAAGTACAAATTAAGTTATGAACACTAATTTCATATGATTGGTAACTGTGGGATT